CCAATGGGGTGGGGCCAGCTGGGTCTGGGTCTTGCACAATTGGCGAAGTGCACACGGGTGGGCGGGGACTTGACTCTGGGTCTGGCGGCGTGTCCCAGACAGGATGAAGATTTTCATATACATTTTACTAATTTTCTTTCATCTCTGACATTTCTATTAATGTTTCTATTAATAGCAACATTAAAATATTTCCTCTAATTAATTCCCTTTTAATGTGCATGAATTTCATGCACCGGGCCACTAGTCCTATCTAATAAAAGAGTAATATACAAATTAACCATCACTCTGACACAAAGATGGCGGCGCCAGTCTTTTCAGTCCCGCTGGAGGGCGGCCACTGAGAGCAGGGCCTGCTTGGCCATGACCAGTGGAAACCCGGGAGCGGCCAAGCAGGCTCCGCAGACAGCAGAGAACCACAGGGAGCGGGCCTAAGCCATCAGTAGGACATCCCCTGAGGACTCCTGGATCGCAGGTCGGGCTGAGGGACCACCCCCCCCTCCGCCCCCCGTGCATGAATTGTGTGCACCAGGCCTCTAGTATCCTATCTAATAAAAGAGAAACATGGTAATTAGCGTACAACCGCTACCCTTCCCATTGGCTAATCAAGGCGATATGCAAATTAACTGCCAGCCAAGATGGCGGCCGGCAGCCAGGCAGCTGGAAGTGAACATGAGGCTTGCTTGCTTCAATGAAGGAGGACTCCAACGTTCCATGCCTGCCTTGCCGGCCTCTGAGCTGGCAGTTTGAAACATTGTAACAAATATAGAAGCTAAACAAAACCCCAGAAACCAGCTTTCAGCCAGCAGGGATCTCAGAGCTGGAGATGATACAGTGTTTCGATTATAGAACCGAAACAAACCAGATACCTGCTTTCAGCAGCAGAGGCCTTGGCCCAGAATTAAAAAAAGAAAAGAAAAAAAGGAGTGGTTGGGAGCTTCAGTCACCCGCCAGGCTGAAAACGGCCCTCAGCCCCTCACCCAGACTGGCCAGGCACCCCAGTGGGGACCCCCACCCTGATCCAGGACACCCTTCAGGGCAAACCAGCCAGCCCCTACTCATGCACCAGGCCTCTATCCTATATAGTAAAAGGGTAATATGCCTCCCGGCACCGGGATCAGCGTGACGGGGCAGCGCCAAAACCCCCTGATTGCCCTGCGGCTCTGTGTGTGACAGGGGGCGGGGCCACAACCTCCCTATCTGCCCTGCTCTGTTCATGACGAGGGAAGGCGCCCCAACCCCCTGATCAGCCCTGCTCTGTGCCTGATAGGGGTGAGCTCCCCAACCCCCTGATCGCCCTGCGGCTCTGTGTGTGACAGGGTGCGGCGCCCCAACCCCCCAATCGGCCCTACCCTGAGTGTGACTGAGGGTGGCATCGCAACCTCCCAATCCGCCCTGCTCTGTGCATGACAGGGTCGGCGCCCCAACTCCCCAATCGGCCCTGCTCTGAGCCCGACCAGGGACTGCACCTAGGGATTGGGCGTGCCCTCTGCCACCCGGGAGCAGGCCTAAGCCAGCAGGTCGTTATCTCCCGAGGGGTCCCAGACTGGTAGAGGGCATAGGCAGGGCTGAGGGACGCCCTCCCCACCCCCCCCCCCGAGTGCACAAATTTTTGTGCACCGGGGCCTCTAGTATATATATAAAAAACAATTGCACTGTAATGTTCAAAATCTCCTTACAAAGTGAGTTACCATCTACTGATGCTTAAATTGATGAATTTCCTGGAAACAAAATAAAGCTAGACATGTTTTATTTATATTTTCCCATAAGACATGTGAAACAGAGTTGCTTCTCACTACCAACCTCTAATCTTTGTACACACTGCCCTGGATTTTAAAGCTCACAGGCTATGATTTCAGCTTCAAAATAACACAAAGGAGAAGGTGATACAGGCATTATTATTATCTCCATTTTGAAGATGGACTCAATTTAGTCCCTATGTTCCTCTTGGGCTGGGAGACTCTCCATGCCCTTGTGGAGCAACAGTAGTAACAAGACAGAGTAAATCTGCCATAGAGCACTCTGAGGGCTCCTGCCTCTACCTCGGCACAGAAAGCATCTGGGGAAGTGACTGGGTTCTAAAACATTGGAAGTAGTTTTTCAAATGTAGGAATGGAGGAAGTTAATCCAGGCACAAGGAATAACATGTTTTTGATAAAATCTGTGTACTCCAGAAGGTAGCCAGATATGAATAGAGAGTAGAGGGGAAATGTGGGGTAGGAGGAAGGTGAGGTTTTAGAGTGAGATAGGAAACAAATCAGGAAAGACTATAAGACCAATCCACCAGGCAGTAGGAGCCATGGAAAGTTATACCTCACATGGTCAGCTATTTCTC